GCTTGTACAAGTACAACTTCGGTAATTACAAAACACTCTTGAACATCAGCTGGTGGACTGCTTAAAATGCTTAAAACTAAACTGGAACAGAGTATTATTTCTCGAAACTAAAAGCCTATTTTATGAGCTTGAAAAAAAAATTAAGTCGTCCTCTTCAAGAACAAAAGAAGTGGATAATCTACAAATGAGAGGGTCATGAATGTGTCAGCTTCTCGGATGACGCCTCTGTATACGAGATTAGTCATTCGTACCTTTATTGAAGTGTCGCCAATATTGAAAAGGCGTTCTGTCTGAAGATCTGTAGAACTAACCACAATTTTCAGTGCTCACCGAAGTCAACATATGTATTTTGTAGTTCAACGCTTTTCTAACCCTTAATCTTTTCCCCTTAGATCAGCCGGGAGAAATGGGGTTAAATTAAATTATTAATAGCGATTTAGTCAATAATATGCATCTATTATTTCTGTTTACAGGGCTAAACACTATTGGTCAGAATGAACTAGGCTTAGACACCAGAGCCTATTGGAGTGGTGGTGAGGAGTGGTTCCTGTCTCAAGGCTTTTGGTCGGATGGTCAACCGGACACAGGAGACTGCGTCCTTGTGTCTCGTCTCGGCACACGATACCGCTGGTCGAGAGGAACCTGTGAGCAAAAGAGGGACTTTGTGTGTCAGTTCGAGGCGTGTGATGTGGGTGAGTACATGTGGTCGCTTTTAAGGACAAGTGGGCTAACCCTGATTTCAGGGGTTTCCAGAAATCTTGACCTAATCCAAAAGTGGGCATTGTTCTACCTGTAAGAGAAGTTTTGTTTCATTGGTGTGTATATTTGTTTGGTTACAGAGAAAACTCTCCTTGTCTTTGATGAAACTGAACAAGGGGTAAAAACTTTACATTCGATTTTCTCAAAACAGCATTTTTCGGGATAGCCCCCTTTTTGCTTAAAAGCGACCGTGTATGATTATGGTTGAAGATCGTGCGCTTGGTTCTCGCTTACATACCACATTATTATGTACACAATTTGTTTACTTTGGTGGCGGTTTTTTTAAGCATTGTTTTTGTGTGTGAGTGTGAGTGTTTTTGTTGTTGTTGATGCTGTTTGTCTTTTCTAAAGGGAGGGTTGTGGGGAGGGGGGGCAAAGTAAAGATACATTTTATTATGGCTGGTGTTTTCTCTATCAAACAAGGTCGGGCCTCTCTTTCTCCTTCACTTTCTCTCTCTCTTTCTCTCTCTCTCTCTCTCTCTCTCTCTCTCTCTC